AACTTCATTTGATTTTATAATACTTACATCATCATTAACACAAAAAACCTTCCTAGAAAGGGGATTATCATAGAAAAAACATGTATTGATTCTTATCACTAGAGTATTTCTATTAAAGAATCGATAAACTTTAGAATTCATGAAATAATCTAGAAAGATTAATTTATCACTTTTTGCATCAAATTTGTCAGAATTGTATTTTCCATTATTTAAAACAAAATACTTACACCCAAAAAGGGTGAAAATAGCTAATGTTATGCTTTTATTTTCAAAAGTTCATATTTAGTTTTCTTTAAAATATTCCTAATCATTAATCTATTAATTATATAACAAGTGGCGTTTGAGGCTTTTGTCTAAAAATACTTTAGCAAATTATTTTCACAAAGCATGATTCTAGTCATTTCTTTTAAAGTTCTATTTTTCTTCTCAACAATTCCAGTTTTTGAGGGGTTCCAGGAGCTGAAAATTATGGGTCATACTACTAGAGTTGCAAAAATATTTGAAATCAAGATTTTGAAATTCGGTTCATGGCTACTCCTTATACTAAAAATTGAATAATCTTTTTAGTTTTGATTTATTTTAAAGAAAGTGATGATTTTTTTTCTAAAGCTTCATTTTTTTTTTGAAAATTCTAAATCTAATCCTAATCATACCTAGAGGAGAGGGGAAGAGGGGACTTTAGGGGAAGGAAGGGGAGTACTCCTAGTGGGTCTAGACCCACGACCTATGGGAATATGAGGGAACAAAGATAAACAACTTATCCAATCTGTCAAATGTGTTTGCTCTATAAATTTCATTTTTAGTACTTAAAAAGAGAACTCATGTGAATCTAGAGTAGTCATAAACTAAAATAAAAGCATATTATTTACAATCCAAGCTAGTAGTCCTAATATGTCCAAATAGATCAATGCAAAAAAAAAAAAAGTGCAATATTCTATTATAGGAAACATCATTAATAGGTTTAAAGGAAACTCTTTTATGCTTAATTTTTGCACATCCATCACAAATTTTATCTAAATCAAATTTATTTTGATAATCCTTTTACAAGATCATTTTTCACAAATTTATGCAAAATGCTCATGCTACTAGCGTGTCTAAGTTTTACATGGTGTAACCATGAATTATTTTCATATTTAGCTATTAGACATACATTTGAGGAAACAATGTTATCTAAATGCACTGTATAAATGTTTCTTATTCCATGATCAATAAGTATAAGTATAATCGTGTTTGATGCAATGTCAACAATCTTGTAACTATTAGACTAAAAAATGACGTTGTATTCCTTATCACACAATTGACTAATATTAAGTAGATTATGTTTCAAACAATTGACATATAACACATTCTCGATAAGTATAGAAGTATTGTTAACAATTAAACTGATTCCTTCAATGTGGCCTTTGGAGTTGCCACCAAAAGTTACTACTCCTTCACTTTTAGTCTTTAGCTCCATGAAATAGTTTTTTTTACTGGTCATATGTCTTGAGCATCCATTATCAAGGTACCATGAATTTGTACTTGTGTTTTGTGCTTTATAGAAATGCTCATCCTCCTACAAACATAGATTAATTTTTAACTTTTGGTATCCAATTTTTTGGGGTCAATAAACATTAGTTCTCAATAATCTAGTCCACTTGGGTATCCATTTTTCTAAGATACCCTCATCCTTAGTAGCAATGAGCCCTTTGGAGACCAATATACTTCTAGTAAATTTTTCATCTGAGGTTCTTTGAGGACCTCTATATATGTATTGTATAAATCTCTTTTTAATATAGTTGGAGTTTTAAATTTTGACCATTTTCAAATTGATTTGATCCAACATTGTTAAAATAAGCTTTAAGATTATCAAGCTTCTTTTGATGATCATTATGAATCTTTGAAAGTAGGTTATATAAATCTTGATTTTTCTTTTCAAATTATCAAGTTTGAGTTGCATAAATTTTACCTTACTTTCAAGTTTATTTTTAGTCTTAGATAAGAGATCATTTTTATTTTTTAGTTATGTAATATTTTTCTTCAGTTTCATAAACATCTTGTAATTCATCAAAAGAATATTCATTTAAAGTATATGAATTATATGTTACCTTTGTTTCTCCCTTAATGGGCGATCATAAGACACAAATTGACTACTTATTGTTCTTATTCATCGAAGGATTCTTCATCGCTCCATATAGCTACATGTGTCTTTTGTGCCTTTTTTGTAGACCCTTTTTTCTTCAACTGAGGGAACTCAAATTTGATGTGCCTCGTCTTCTTACATTCATAACAAATGATGTAATATTTTTCTTCAGTTTCATTCTTGAAGCCATCCTTTCTTTGGAGTCTTCTTCCTTTGTTAAACTACGAGAATCTTCTAGATCTTTTAGTAAACATTTTAATTTCTTCATCTTTTTTCTCATTTGAATCATTCTCTTCTTTGGTAGATTTTAAAGTTATTCCAATCTTCTTCTTCTTCTTCTTCTTGTTTTCTCCTTCCTTGAGTCTCATCTCATAGGTAAGAAATGATCCAATTAGCTCATTAAGTGTTTTCAATGACCATTCTTTTTGCCTCCAAAGACACAAGCTATAAAGAAACTTTCTCATAATTTCTCCATTTGAATATAATTTCCAAAAACTCTTAAGCTCATTGATGATTGTGGTAAATCGATCGGACATAGCTTTAATATTTTTATCAGACTTAATCTTGAAATCCTTATAAATAAGTGTAAGAATACCAATCTTTGATTCCTTCACTTGAATCATACCTTGATGAGTTACTTTTAATTTTTCTCAAATCTCCTTTTCATTCTGACTTGCTCTTTGGTACAAGAAGATCTCATTGTTTCTTTCATGGAATTGATGACCCATCAATGATGACATCCCAAACTGAGAGATTAATTGCTTGAATACACAACATCATCATATTCTTCTAATAAAAGTAGTAAATACCATTGGAAAAATGAGGCTTGAAGATGATGGAGTAATCATAGATGATAATGTAATTGAACTCTCCAAAAGACATAATCAAAAAGATGTTAAGCCTTCGAATGAGTTAAGTTTTGATACCAATTGTTGAGTCAATCAATTAAATAAAATAATCAAGAGGGGGTGAATTAACAAATAAAAATTTGGTGGAAGCTTGGAGAAAATAGAAAAAATGAATGCAAGAATTTAGAGTGGTTCAATTTCCTCAATAAAGTTTACATCCACTACCTTGGCTACCACACTCAGGATTTTCATAAATTCACTAATTTATATCAACCTTTGAGAGTAATGTGTAACCTTACAAACTCCCTCAAGACTTATACCCCAAAGTCTAGAGACATTCTCTTAAAGAGAAAAATTATAATTAAAAACTTTGAAAATCTCACAAGGAATGTGTTTGTACAATTCAAGAACAATGAGAACACTAGAAGAAAGAATTACAAAAGAGTACAAACTAGTATTTCCGGAAGCAAAATGGAATATGAATACAAATGACTTCTTTTTCGTTCAAAAATGGTCATTCTAGCTTTCTTTATGATCTCGTCTTCATATATTCTTTAAGATCTTGCTTTTATAGCCCTTCAATCAATTCTAGCCGTTTGAGTATTCGTGGGAGTTAATATAACATTTAGAGATAAAATTTTCTGCAATAAATGCTGTCAAGATGTGTATGATATTAATACTATAATACTACCTACATCAATTATAAAAAATATAGCTGTTGCAATCAAGAGTATTGATACTTCACAAGCAGTATCAATATTACTGTTATAAGTATCCATATTACTGTTATAAGTAGTATCGATACTGAATGAAATATTGGTACAGATTTTGACTTCGAAGTTTGATTTTCTAAAATGAGGATCGTTACTCTTGGAGGAGTACTGATATTACTCAAAAAAATTTAAAGGACTTAATATCAATACCACATGAACAATATCAACATTGTTCATAGGGTGTCAATGCTTCATGAAGAAGTATCGATACTATAAAGCTAAAATGTCCATTTTGATCGTTTAAAGTTATAAACATTTAGAAAAAAATGTTTTACAATTATGTTAAATGTTTGAAAAAATTCTTCAAGTGAGATAAGGAAAATGGAGCTTTAGAACTTAGAAAAATTTTATATTCAAACTAAATATAATCTTAAAAATTGTTTAAAAGTTATTTAACACTTTTGATATATCATAATCATCAAAGCATGTTCAACAAAATATATTTCTTAGATTTAATTTATAACACCCTAATATCACATTTACGATCATCATAATCACTTGAACCTAAATAAAACTTAGATTTCCATTTTTCCTAGAAAATTACTCATAAATCTCATTATGAATACTCTTGATTTTTTATGATTTCTTAAAAGTTTATTGTTAATTTATCAAAATAACTTCAAATACTTATTGATATGATAGAAAGTTATTAGAAACTATTTAGAAACTGATGTTAAATATTACATTAGAAATAGTTATTTCTATAGTAATTCTCGTCGAAATTTTTATAAGAATGTAAAAAACATAACTATATTATTATTTTTTGAAGATCAGTCTCATTAAAAACTCATCTTATAGCTTACAAGAGAAAAACAATACCCAATTAACTATATTAAAAAAAGAACCTTTATTGTATACATCTTTAGAAAATATATCGGGACAAATCGAATTAAAAAATAAAGAATTACCACATTTAAGGACCCATATAGTTAATGTATAACTTTATTGCACATTCGATTTACGAAGACAATAGAGAATTTCCTATTGTTATGAAAAATGTCATGAGCCTCTTGAATGTGGAATGCAAGAGTGGAAATGTCCTCTTCTGCACGAACAACCTTACTGGGAAAATTTAAATGTATAATAGTTTAATTTAGGGTTAAGGAATTTACGCAACCGAAAATATGATTAAAAAATGAAAAATTTAAATTTAGAAAAGAGTTTATATGAAAATTAGTTGCAAAACAATAAGCCCATAACTGAGAGAAAGCCCATTAAATAAATGCCCATTAAGAGCCCAAACAATTTCATCTCCCCTTCCCTTCCACTCGTAGCGCGCCCTGTGAACGGATAAACCTGCTGCTCCTTTTCTCTCTTCTCTCTCAAAGCTCTGAAACTTCAACCGACGAAAAATACAACAATAATCGAAATGCTGGCAAGCTCTAGCGGCGTACGAAGCACGCCGTGCTATGCTCAGCTGTCGCATTTCACTTTCTCCCTCCGCCTTTCATCTACAAACCGACCTCGCTTTCTTACTCCTAAAAAATCCTCCAAGTTTTGCTCTCTCTCGCTGCTTTTATCCGGAAATAGCGTCGGATGTAACCGCTTTGCCGTTAGAGCTTCGGCCGAGCCGGAGGTTTCCGAGTCGATTACTGCTGCTGCTGCTTCCGGTTTACTGCAACCTGTTTCTGTCAAAATTCCTTTCGGAGGTAGAGAGGTAAGCTTGGAGAACTTGTTATTTTAATTTTGTTATGAAAACTTAACTTTGGAATTATGAATTTTGTTATCTAAATATTTTAATTATTTAAAATATTTTGGTGCTTTCTTTTGATTGAATGTAGCCTTTTAACATTAGCTTGCGAAAAGAATGGAAAATCTTAGCAAATTCAGAATCATGTGTTATTACTTGAACTTCATCCTGAAGATGTTTAACAAACGAGTATATAATATGTAGCTGCTATTTCAATAGTTGGGAAAATACATAGGCAGTTTTCTTAGAAAATGGTGACCGTAACTTTTTAGCATTGCTTTTCTTGCTCAGATTTTGCACTCTGGGTTAGTTAAATTGCTATTTTTATTTTGGTGTTGTTTCTTCTTGGGTTTCATATTCATAACCAGGTGAATACTGTGCTGAACCTGATGTTATTTAGCAGATTACATAAGTAATTTTGTTGTTTGTTGCAGATTCTTATTGAGACAGGTCATATAGGGAGGCAAGCTAGTGGTTCTGTGATGGCAACTGATGGAGAAACAGTAAGTGCTAATTCTCTTCTATGCATATCCTAAGAAAACATATTCAAATTCAATGCATTTAGATTTGTGCTTATCATGTATACTTTTCATATTTTAAAAGAAATAGTGGAGGTTTTATGATTATTTTTATTTTTTTTGTAGATTGTATACACATCTGTTTGTTTATCAGATGTTCCAAGTGAGCCTTCTGATTTTTTCCCCCTTAGTGTTACTTATCAAGAACGTTTTTCGGCAGCAGGTCGGACTAGGTGTGTCTTTTTCCTATCCTTCATTCTTTACATTAATTAGTTGAAATGAACTTATGTATCATGCTTAATATTTTTCTGCTGCTTCAGTGGTGGTTTCTTTAAACGAGAAGGGAAGACAAAGGATAATGAGGTACTAGTCACAGCTATCCAAGTGTGGAATTTTTAGACCTAGTTGACATATGAAGAATTCTTAGAACTATGGGCACTAACTAAGTATTTCAATACCATATTGCTTGGAAGTGGTTGCTTCATCCATTCTATCATTTAATCACTTAATATTTGTATTTGTCCCAACTAAAATGTCCTTGTTCAAAAAGTTAGAATACTCAATGCTTCAGTTGCCCATATTACTCTCCAGGTTACCATTAAAGGGTAAGAGACCCACTGAGAAAATTATTACTTTGACCACCATTATTGTCACTTTCCTGATTAGGTTTTCTCAAAATTAGTATTTAAAACTGACTATCCTAGGATAATGTTTGTATTTTAATTTGGCACAGGACTTGATGTCTGAGAAGCTATTTTCTTCAGTTTTCTTCAATAACTTGATGTTATTTTATGGCTTCCATCACTTCAGGAGTCACTAATTCAAATGCCTTATAAGTTGTCATTTACTATTATCATTACCTTATTGTTTGTAGGTTCTTATTTGTCGGATGATTGATAGGCCATTGCGTCCAACTATGCTCAAGGGATTCTACCATGAAACTCAGTTACTATCTTGGGTAAAATCTTATTTCTTTTTCCCACATGATTGTTATCTTCAAAGCGTTTTAGCTGGCTTATGTTGACTTTTGCAATTTTGATTTATATTGTGTTTTTATGAAAATTCATTTTTCGAAATTTGATAATTTAGCGATTCTTGAGAACATGATGTAAAAAAAATAGTGAACTTTATTTGTTTTAAATCCACTCAACAAGGTTTTAGATCCTGATTGTCAGCCGTGGCTAAATAAATCTTTTATATTGTTTACTGCTATTATTTCAAACGTTAGCTAAAATGAGAGGTGACCAACCCTCTTTGTTCTCCATGCTTGGTAAGCTTCTTTTTTTGGCTGCTTGTTAATTCCTTTTGACTTCTCTTTAATTTGAAGGACTGCATCTTCCCTGTTCATATGTTGTTGTATTGAGTTTATTGAAAGAGCCTGACCTAGATGTTTTACCATGCTTTGAAATTTATCGTGCTTAAAAAAATGAGTGAGAGAGAGAGAAAAACGTAGAGAGAGAGAATTTGAAAGAAAAGTCAGATCCCGATAAGTGTTGGTCGGCGTTTATCGACAATCTGAGTAGGAGGGTTTCTCGTTGTTCGCTTAGGGAAATATTCTTAGTCCATGGTCCTGTTATGAGAGTTTTTATTCCCAATCAAATAAGAAATCCAAAATACAGATTTTCCACCTTTGCTTTTGTTCATTTTAAGAGGGAGGAAGATTTGAAGAGGGCTGTTAATGAGTTAAACGGGGTTGTGATTGATGGAAGGAAGATATCAGTTAGTCCTGCCAGATTTAAGGATGAACGTTCAAGGTCAGGGGTGGTGCATACTTCTTCAAACAAGGTTTCTGGTCAGATTAATGCAGAATCTTCAAAATCAAGAGAAAGAGAAAATATTAACAGAAGCAGAAGGGACGACAGATCTTATAGGGATGCTCTGATGTCAAATGGGAATACAAGAGGGAACAAAGAACTATTGTCTGAGGATTTCCAGAGGAGGAATGCTAAGAAAAATATTTTGGAAATGCATATTCCATCAGAAAGTTCCAACTGGGTGAAGAGGTCGTTAACAGGGATTATCAAATACTCTTTTCAAGTTGAGTTCATTTGGAATGCCTTGCTAAAAGAAGGCTATGATGTTCAAATTGCTAGATGGGGTTATGTATGGAATTCTTGCGTGTTAGTTCTTAAATCTCACGAGGAGATGCTGGATTTATGGAGCAACAAGGAAGAGGTTTTAAAGCAGTGGTTTGAACGAGTGGAACCTCTGCTGAATGAGGCCGGAGTTCCTATGGCCTTTTGCATGGCAGAATTAATAGGGGTTCCTTTGTTATGTTGGAATGAATCCTTCTTCGAGAAGTTGGCTGGTAGATGGGGCAATGTGGTAGGTATTCATGATAGTACAAGGAAAAGAGAAGACCTCACAATGGCAAGAATTTTATTGAGGGTGGCAAGCCCCTTTGATGTTCCAGAGGTGATCACTCTTGGATCTTATGGAAGATCATTCAAAGTAAGTATCAAGATTGGATCAACAAGTGAGTATTCAAGTTTGTTTTTCAATAATTTTCCAGTGGAGGATTCCGGTGAGGCATTTTTTGAGAAGATTATGTCTGAGGAGGATAAAGACTGATTGTTGTCAGATCATGGGGAAGGTGAGGCATGTACATCAAGGAAAAATCGTCTGTCAGTGGACAATTGGATTGACCAGGGAGTGTTTCGGGTTTCTGGAGGAGTTAGTGAGGACAGACAACTATCAAGACTTTCCTTAGATAGGAAAGGTATTAATTGTGGTATGCCAGAAAGTCAGAATGTTGGGAGTTTAAAAGTTGGTGAGTTTGCAGGTTTGGGGATTAGAAGCCAAAATTATTCGGCTGATGGATCTCAGGCCCATTTTGAAGACTCTGGGTAGTCTGGGTCAAAAGACTTTTTGGGTTTCATTTCTGGGCTAGCATTTACAATTAATAAGTTTGGGGAATTGATTGAGAACCTTAATTTAGCAGGAAAAAACAGGAAAATGTTTTGAAGTATTGGAGACGAGCCCAATTGCAGAGAAGTCGGTTAATGCAAAAATAGAGGCCGAAGAAGAAAGCTTAAGACCAGTTGAACTGGTCTCAACTAATTTAGGAATCAACTCAAGGGGGAGACAGTTATATCGTTCTAGAAGAAAGATCACAAAAGAGAGTGATGTGTTGGAGACTAGAAGTTTGAGCAGTTGCAAAAGGGTTTATAGTAGGTCGAGGGAAAGAAGATATTGGTATGGGGATTTGTTGAACCTCTCGACTGAAACAGATGGTATCATAGTTAGGCAGAGAAAGTTTGATGTGGATTCCAGCACTAAAAAACAACTTTGTTTATCAGCAGAGCACATTGCTGATGGGAGTCTTCTTCCTCGCATTGACAATGGTTCTGGGGATGGGAGCGTAGAGAGGGAGATGGAAGGTTACTTTTCAAAAGGTGAATGCTTAAGATCCAAATCTGGTTTGTTAATTAGAAGGAAGAGAAGAACTAGAAGGATCCTGTTTCGAGAAGCCCTTGACCAGGTGAGCATTGATACAACATCCTCCTCAGTTTTCTCGACTTTATTGAAAGAAGCTGTAGAAACTTGGGAGGTTAGTAAGCTTTTGGGGGTGTCTTTTAAGGAAGGGAAAGAAGCCTTTTTGGAAAAAATCATAGCTCTAGAGAAAGGCTTGAATGGGGTTAATCAAGATTTGGTTGATTGAGGGTTTTGTTTGTACCTATTTCCTTTTATGAAGATGACAAAGTTAGTAATATGTTCATGGAACGTTAGGGGTTTGGGGAAAAATGAAAAAGAGGGCTGTTTAAAATTTAGTCACTAGCTTAAATCCTACTTTTCTTTGGCTGCAAGAAACTAAGACTGAGAAATTTAAGAGGTCTTTTTTTAGAAGAAGTGGGATTAATAAGCTAAAAAGAGTTTTGGAATCTCCTTCAATTGGATCAGCGGGGGGCCTGTTGTGCAGTTGGGATGACAATATTTTTGAATTGGATAGTCACTTTATTAGCAGGAGATTTATAGCTACTTTTGGTAAATTTTGGAATAATAATTTCAGTTGTGGTTTCATCAATGTATACGGTCCAGCAGTGGAGGAGGAAAAATCTGTTTTTTTTGAAGAATTAAGCAGTTTTCTTAGTGGACAGAATTATCCCGTTTGTGTGGGAGGGGACTTCAATGTCTATTTACAAGAAGATGAGAAGATGGGCAGAGGTCAAAATAGGAGTTCAATGGAGATCTTTAATGAGTTCATTCTTCATACGAGCTTAATTGATATTCCTATGAATAGGGGTAGGTTCACTTGGTGTAATAACCAAGAGAATCCCACTTTTGTAAGATTGGATCGTTTTTTGGTTGATTGTCAATTTCTAGCGTTGTTTCCGGACATTATGCAGTCTCTTCTACCAAGATCATTGTTAGATCACAATGTATAGTTCTTCTGAATAAAGGAGTGGACTGGGGTCAAAAACCGTTTAGACTATTCAACTATTTGATGGATGAGGAGGGTTTTGAGGATCTGCTTATTTCTTCTATACAGAGTTGTAAGAAAAGTCAGAAGAAGGCAGGTGTTTTTAGTCTTTTAAGGAACACCAAACATGCAATAAAGAAGTGGTATGGAAACAGAGATAAGTATATAGGAGCCTTGATTTCTGAGTTAGAGAAGAAAAATTCGATGATAGAGGCTGATATTCAACAAAAGCAAGGTGCTGTCGCTAGTGAGGTATTAACAGAGTTGAAAAATTATAGAGCAGAATTGTGGAAACTTTACAAGATCCAGGAGCAGATTTGGTTTCAGTACTCGAGATCTAAATGGATTGAAGATGGGGATCGCAATACTAAATACTTCCATACCTTTGCTACAATTAGGAATAAGAGGAATGCTCTGGTTGCACTAAATTTTAAAGGAGAAACAATTGAAGACCCTACTGCAATTAAGGCCAAAGTAAAAGATTATTTTTTAAGATCTACAATGACCGATCTACTTTAGAAATTGATGACTTAAAACTGGATTTTTCCAGAATTTCTTTGGAGCAGATTCAGTTCTTAGAACAGGAATTTTCAGAGGAGGAAGTTTGGGATATTGTGAATGCTTGTGGTAGTAACAAAGCTCCGGGTCCTGATGACTTTAATCTGGGATTTTTCAAGAGGTTTTGGCAGATCCTTAAGGAAGATATTATGGAATTCTTTCATAATTTTTACTTGGGGAAGGAATGGGAACATGAAATAAATCACACATTCATTACTTTTATTCCAAAGATTTCAAACATTGGTGGTCTGGATGATTATAGACCTATAAGCTTAGTTGGTGGTTTGTATAAGATCCTCTCTAAATGTCTGTCAAGGAGACTTAGGAGCTGCATTTCAGATTTGATCTGTCCATGTCAATTCGCTTTTATCCCCAGTCGACAAATCTTGGACTGCTCCCTCATAGCCAATGAAGGGATCGACTTTTTGAAGAAGAATGGTTTAAAAGGACGTGTTTTTAAAGTTGATTTCAAGAAGGCATATGATACTCTTGACTGGCCTATCTTGTTCAGAATAATGAAAGAAATGTGCTTTGATTCTAGATGGATAGGTTGGATTTCGAAGTGCATCACATCAGCAACTATTTCAGTATTGGTGAATGGGGTTCCAACCGAGGAAATTCCAATGGCTAAGGGTCTTCGTCAAGGTTGTTCCTTGTCTCCATTGTTGTTCAATATAGTTGGGGAACTCTTGAATTTATTGATACTTAAGGCTGTTTCAGAGGGGCTTTTTTCGGGTTTGGTCATTAGAAATGAGGAGAGGAATTTTAATTTAACACATCTTCAATTTGCTGACGACCTTATAATTTTTTGTGGTGTGTCGAAAAAACAGATCTTGAATGTGAAGAGGGTGCTTTGAGTGTTTGAGATTATATCTGGACTTCAGTTGAACTTGAAGAAGTGTAAATTGTTTGGGGTGAACTTAAAGGATGAGGAAATTAAGGATTGGGCAGCTTCGATTGGATGTTCAGTGGGTTCTTTTCCCTCAGAATATTTGGGACTCCCTCTTGGTCCATACAGAAACTCCAACATTCTGTGGGATCCAGTGGTTCAAAGCTTCAATAAGAGGTTAGCGGGCTGGAAAGGCTTCTCTTTGTCACTGACAGGCAGGTTGGTTCTGATTAAATCAGTCCTATGTTCACTTCCTATATACTTTTTGTCAATGTTCAAGGTTCCAGCTTCAGTATACAAGACCCTTAATTCTATTATGTCAAATTTTTTATGGGGTGGTGGAGATGGGAAAAAGAAGATCCATTGGGTAAGCTGGAACGACGCTTGTAAACCAAAAATTGAAGGAGGCTTGGGAGTTTCTAATTTAAATGTGTTGAATAGGGCATTATTGGAGAAGTGGGCTTGGAGGTTTGCTATTGAGAGGAAGGCGATTTGGAGGGAAATGCTTTGCATCAAATATAAAATGGACTCTTCCTTGATGCAGTTTGACAATAATGTTTCTCCTAAATTTTCTTAGATATGGAGATCTATGGTGAGTAATCATTTTAAAGCTGATTCGATGAGCTGTAGTATCAGAAGCAAATATAACTATAAAATTGGTAATAGGAGGATTATTCGGTTTTGGCAAGACACTTGGGCATTGGATCATCATTTGATGGTCATGTTCCCTAGACTATTCTCTATTGCAGTGAACAAAACTGGAAGATTATTTCAGTTTGGGGAATACAACTCAGGGGGCTGGTTTTGGAACGTTCAGTTGAGAAGGGAGTTGAATGATTGGGAATTTGAGCAATGGTCAAATTTGATGGCTGTTATTTTAGATTTTTCTATTTCTGCTGATGCTGTTGATTGTTTTGGAAGGGGACTGGAGAAGGGGTTTTCACTGTTAAATCATTTGCCAATCTATCTTATTCGGGTACTTTCGATTTGGAGGAAGCTAAATTTTGGAAGTCTATTGTTTGGAGGGGCCTGCTGCCTCCGAGAGTGGAGACTTTTCTTTGGCAAGTTATCTTAAAGAAGCTGGTAGTGAAGAAAACTCTGGTTAAGAGAGGTGTTCAGGGCATAAATGATACTTTGTGTCATCTTTGTAATCTAGAAGAAGAGTCTTCATCTCATATATTTTTTTCCTGTTCGGTGGTTTGGCCAATATGGACTAAATTCATAGGCTATTGGAATTTTCAGTCTGTTTTTCATGAAGATGCTAAAAGATTCTTACTAGCATGGACTGATTTGAAGACCAACTCTCTTATTTGGTCATTTATCCCTGGAGTGGTTTTATGGACAATATGGAAAACTAGGAATTTTATTGTGTTCGAAGGAGGGAAGCTTGATCGAGCAGGAATTTTCTTTCTAGCAAGGTGCAGGCTTGCTTCATGGTTTCTAGCTAGGGAAAATCATATTTCTATTTCCAAGGATGCTCTTACTGCTGACCCTTCCTTGGTGGATTCTTGCTCATCCCATTCTAATCGGATTTTAACTAAGTTTCCTTGGTCCCCTTCTCCAAAGGGTTTTATTAAACTTAATGTGGATGCGGCTACTTCTAGTGATTGGAAGAGGAGTGGTTTAGGTGGTGTTCTGAAAGACATGTCTGGTTCGATTCTTGGCTCCTTCAAAGAGCCTGCTGGTCCGGGGCCTCCAACTTTGATGGAATTGAAAGCTATCCTAAAGGGATTAGATTTTTATGAATCTATTCGCCATAGGTTTAAAGATAGATTGATTATCGAGAGTGATAGTAAGGTGGCAATTGGCTGGGTTAAGGATGTTGTTTCATGTCCTGTCGTTTATGTTCAAATTGTTAAAGACATTATTCAAAAGCTTAGTGTTTATGAAGGTCTTATTAGATGGGTTAGTAGGACAGCCAATATAGAGGCAGACGTCCTAGCTAAGGCTGGTATTGGTTGATAATTATGTTCTGTTAAGGGCTACTTCTTTTTGGTTTTCTATCTCTTGAGGGAGATTAGACCTTGTATTACTTTGTAATTATTTGAGGTTAATGAAATCCTAGGGCACTCTTTTCCTCCTTCCGCTTATTAAGAAACTATTTTCAAGTTCCGTTAATCATGAAGGGGGTTTTTAATGAGGCCTACTATTCCTATCAAAAAAAAAAATTATCGTGCTTATGTGTAGAGCAGAAATTGTTCCTCTAATGTGAAATGTCTACCTGTATTACCACTTCAAACTTTAACATGTTGATTTTTATTTATTCTTTTATTTTTCCTTTGCGGAAATATTTGCATATATGACAATGTTTTCATTAGGAAAATACTAAAACTAAACTATATGTCACATGAGTGCAGTAATATGCAATTTTATTAGACTTTGTACCTGGTCAAAGGTTATGAAACATGGACACATCATTCACCATTTTGTGCTAATCTTGTGCATATGTCTAACACAGACACATGACATGGTGGGATACATGTCATGCGCATAGCGATGTACCAAAATTTATGGAAAAGTCATTATTTTTTTTTAGAAATTCCCATGTTGCTGTGTCTGCTTCCTTGGTTAAGGGGAAGTCTATACTTTGATACAAAGGGAGCAGTGTTGGGTAATCTTTCCCAAGAGAACTTACTTCCCTGTTGATTTCTCCTCTCCCTCCATGTCAATGCATCCATGCTTCATGGTCAAGGGAGAGAGTATAATTTGGTACAAAGGGCAACATTAGGTAAATATTTCTATTTTCTTCTAGAATTTACTTCCCTGTAAGGAGGTGATTCGAAGCTTGCTCCTCTGCATCCGTTTTATTGGAAACTCTTGGCCTTTGTGGTTGATCTTGGTGTATATGATTTGAGGCGTTTGTTTTATTTGGCTTCTTAAAGTTGTTTTGTGTTGTGGTGTCTTTCGGGCCAAGCTCAGGTTTTAAGTCTGGTCAGTCTTATTTGAGGCTGTTGTTGTAGCTAAGGTGGATTAGGCAGAGTTAATGCTGTTATTTAGGGTTGTTTTCGATTGTTTTTTGGTGTGCTGTTTATGTTGGGGGTGGATTTCTGGTTGTATCTTGTAATTTCTTATGTTCAATGAAATCCTAAGGCACTCTTTTCCTCCTTCCGATGATTAAAGAGTTATTCTTTAAACTCCTTTAATCAAGAAGGGGTTTTTTAACGAGGCCTTCAATTCCTATATAAAAAAAAAGAATTTACTTCCCTGTTTCCTTCTCCTGGATTTTCCTTCCATAGAAGCTGTTTGCTTTGTCACCTGAACTACTTGGCTAGCAGATCCTCCCTGTAACATTCACTTTGATATACTTAAAAGATGCATGTCCAGAATGTTATTGCACTATCTATAGCTGGAAAGCACTTATTATAGGCAGATGTTTGTCTTAGTGGATGCCAATGTTGCCTTTGTTTGATCATTGTTCTAAAAGATTATGTACATGATTTCATTTAGGGTTCTCGTTTTGTGTTGATATATTTTGTAATATTTGTGCGAAAGCAATATACACTTAGAATTCTGTTGTCCATGAAACAGATTATCTGCTGAGGGTAATTTTGACCGATAAGTTGTGCATTATACGCTCCTCTCTGTGCCTTGTGCTCTATCTTTGATGCTTGCTTTCTAGAGTTCGAGGCATTAGTTACATGTGTCTTATATGCACTTCATTGTCTGGTTCATATCTAAATTGTGTTCATCTTTCAGGTTTTGAGTTATGACGGTTTGCATTGCCCAGATGCTTTAGCAGTTACTGCAGCTGGTATAGCAGTGTAAGGCTTATAATAGTTTCGGTTCTGCTTACCTTTGTGGCTTTTGTGATATTTACAGTATTATGCGGGATATTGTTTTGAATATATGCTCACAAATGCCACAGAGCTCTTTCAGAAGTTCCACACTCTGAAGCTATAGCAGGAGTTCGAGTTGGTTTGCTTGGTGATAAATTTGTTCTGAATCCAACAATAAAGGAGATGGAAGACTCAACACTAGACCTATTTTTGGCGGGCACAGATAATGCTATATTAATGATAGAGGTTAACTTCAATCCTAATTCTTTGTATTAGGATATAGTGGATTATAATGAACTTTTACCATTTACTAGAACACATGGCTGCTGATCTTTGTCTTTTCTAAAGGATCTTATTTTATGTTTTCCTTTTATTGTTTTGTTCATATAAATATTTTAATAGGTTTATGTGCTGTTTGTATGATTCCATCTAAATCGTCTCCTATAAACTTTACCTCTTTTTTGGACATTGGAGTCTGTTCTAATTGTCGTAATAAGGGATTTCCAGTTAAGAATCATGAAAGTCAGCGTCTCTTCCTCTACTTGTTTGTTGTTATATCCTTTATTTTGTTCCATGATTAGAATGAGGCTTATGGTTGATTTGTTTAACAGTTCTGCATCTGCAAGTTATTTCTTTTGGGATTGCCATAGAGCATCTTCACAGTCTGAGAACTGTAATAAAAAACATTATAAAATGAGTTCACAGAAGAATGAGAAAGTGGACATGGTTTAAATTTAAATTAGTACGAGATAGTGTGTAACCCACTTTCTCAGGTGAGATGATAGGAAGATCAGAGATTTCATAAACAACAATTTATGCACAGAGACATTCCCTAGTTGTATGCAGTGATGTTGGTAACTGTTACCTTTATAAGGACCATGGAATTTCTTATAATAGGGTTAATTATTGTATAAGTTGCATTTGCGATTGGAAATTGAGAGTCGAGTCTTGTTGAGTGAGCACTTACTGCATAATCATTTAATGTACTTCTATTTAACTTGTATACCTAAGGAAAAAAAATTCGTACTATTGATGCTATGTTGAAGTAGGTTGCTCATAGGACATTTGTTCATGATAATTGGTCATGTGTGAGCAATTCACACACGCCGACATAACGGATTCATAGATGTGGAGCTGTCTTATATCTGTTTATAACTTTTTTCTGCTCCTCGATAATCGAATGGTATGAGGTACATAAAATGCAAAAAAAAAAAGGTGAATGGTCAAAGAAGGATCATAAATCATTCTCCCCAACGGTGTTCAATTATAATTTTTTTTATCATTATTACGAGCTGAATTACTATTATTTATTTCACTTCTTTTGCCTGTATGAATGCTATTCAAGATTATACTTTGCTCCAGATTTTTGTTTTCTTATTTACTTATTTTCTTATTTAACTACCTCTCATTGGCATGTTGAAAGTCACGAATGCTTCCAAAATTTATCCCTTACAGGGCTATTGTGATTTTCTTCCTGAAGAAAAGTTGCTTGAAGCGGTACAAGTGGGGCAGGTTGTTTCTTAGAACTTTGTATACTTCTTATCTATTATTTTATTTTTTAAGTCACGAGTTATCAATTTCTAGTCATTTAAGGAACTAAGTTCTACAATTCCATTAAAGTTGTTATGTCCTAGTGCAATGGTATCAATCTACTTCCTTGGTTAGACCTAGTAAACAGGACTGGAGAGAGAGTGTTTAAGTGAGAGGCTAAGATTTGAATTGAATGTGTTAAATTAAGAATTTGGTAGATTTATTATGAAAGCCTCGAAAGAAAGTTCAAATTCAATTCTATATTAAATAAAAGAGGACTGGGTTTGTAACCATTTAATTGAGATTTTCATTTAATTTTCTGCTTGAGATACATGTCTTATTATTGTCCTCGTGTACTTCACGTTTTGATAGCTTATATACATTTTAAAGGCATGTTGATTTCTCTTGTTTTCTGCATTAGATACGTCTTATTGATGTCCTTGTGTACTCCACTTTTTGATAGATTATTTATATTTTAAAAGTTTGTTGTTTTCTTCATGTCACTTGGATGTGTATTTTAGATTCTATGTTATATCTTCTTCTTGGTATTTGGTTTATTAATTGTAGGAAACTCAATAGGCAACTTTGAAATGAATGAGCATTGAGTATTAACCGTATCTTTCTTGACTGGGACCTGTTCTATTTTAGAAGTTGAAGAGATTATATTCACTGGTATAAATAGATACGTGCATATGCATTTTTAGTTGCAGTTATGCATTTACTATATCTGTCCTGCATCATTATGCTGAAAGTTTGTTAGCATTTCCCCCAGTATATGAAGTATCTAACAAATGCCACCAAAGAAATCTACAGATTATAATATTTTATCTTGTCTATATCACTAATAACAGGATGCAGTGAGAGAAATCTGCAGTGCTGTGAAGGCTTTAGTCAAGAAGTGTGGGAAACCCAAAATGCTTGATGCTATCAAATTGCCACCACCTGAGCTTTATGAGCTCGTGGAAGTATGACCCTTCTTTTTTGTTCCCATTAACATGTATTGTCTTATTTTTTTGAATTAATTTGATATTGTTTTTACTAATATTTGTGATCTAATTCAATGATGGTAGCTCTCATTTATTTATTTTTGATAGGAATGGTAGGCCTCGTTAAAAACCCCCTTCATGATTGAGGATCACAATGTGCTCCTTAATCAGCAGAAGGGGGAAAAGAGTGCCTAAATAATTCACTGATAACCACAAATTACAAAACTTAAAAACAACCATACAATCTCTCTTACAAATAACCTACCCAAAGCCTAACAGATAACCCAATCAACCTAACAAAAACATCGTATCTATCCAATACCAGCCTTAGCTAATCTATCAGCCTCAACATTGGTTGACCTAGCAACCCATTTAATACTCCCATTCAAACCTCTAATCATATCGACAATAGCTGTCACAATGTCTGAGTACACATAGGGACAGCGGTCGATATTCTTGACCCATTCTACTGCTAATTTACTGTCTGATTCAACTAATAACCTATCCTTAAAACTCTGCTGAATCGAAGCAAAGAAGGATAGCCCTTTCTTAATAGCCTTAAGTTCTATCAAAATAGGAGGACCTGGACCAGCAGCCTCTTGAAAGGAACCCAACACCGAACCATCGTGAGCCCGTAGGATGCCCCCAACATCACTCTTCCTCCAATCTGCAGTCACGGCCGCATCAACATTCAACTTAATAAAGCCCTTTGGAGGGTGAGACCAAGACACAACTTTGATAATAGGAGAGCTTGAGAAAGAGCAACAGTCCCCAAGTGTAGGGTCACAGATTAGGGAGTCCTTAGAAATAGATACAACCTTGTAGTAAGCTAGGAACCAAGCAGCCAACCTACATCTTGCCATAAAGAATAGATCAATCTGATCTACCCTTCCCCCCTCGAACACAACGGCATTCCTATATTTCCAAATTGTCCATAGAACCACCTCGGAATGAAGGTCCAAATTTTAGAATTAGGAACCAATTCATCCCAAGCAACCATAAAACTTTGAGCATTGACTTGAAGAAACTCCCCAAAGACTCATAAATTTGTTCCATAAAGACCACGCCACCAAGCAAGAAAATAATAAGTGTGATGAGGTTTCATCCGCCTTTTCACACAAAGGGCAAGCAACATCAACAATAGCTGCGACTCCTCTCCTCTGTAACTCAAGTTTTACTGGCAGTCTCTGCAGCACCACTTGTCACAAAAATACCTCCACTCTAGGAGGCACTAAACCCCTCCAAACATAATTCTTCCAAAAAGGATCTTCTGTACCAGCAGGACGACAAGACTTAACACACGAACTAACAGTATAGACTCCTTCCCCATTTCCACACCAAACCAACCCATCTGATAAATCCTGAGAAAGAGTGACATTATGGATCAAAGCCATTAAATCAGCATACTGAGATAGTTCCCAATCACTCAAATGCCTTCTCATATTAACATGCCAAGACCACACTGTTGACCGAAACTCCCCAAACTCAATAAGCTTCCCATTCTTGTTTATAGACAACACAAACATTCTGGGAAAAATCACTTTAAGAGGGGAATCAAGTGCCCAACTATCAAGCCAAAATCTGATGCTCCCTCCATCCCCCACTCCGACTTTAAACTTACTTCGAAACTTATCTCCAAACTGATCTTGCTTGAAATGGTTATGGACCATCGATTTCCAAATCCAAGAAGCATGTGCAGGAAGTTTCTCGTTAAACATCAGAAAACTGGGATCCATATTGTATTTACAGCAGATAACCTTCTTCCACACTGACTCTTTATCATTAGCAAACTTCCAAGACCACCTCCCTAATAGAGCTCTATTAATATAACTAATGTCCAAAGCACCAAGACCACCCACACTTTTTCCAGAGCACACTTTTGTCCAATTAACCCAATGGATTTTTTTGGCCTTAACTCCTCCCCATAAAAATATGGCCATAATGGAATTTAGCTTGACAATCACCGATGAAGGAATCTTGAACATGGACATGCCCAAAACTGCCTTCAGTAAAACCAGCCTCCCTGCCATTGATAAAGTCTTCGCCTTCCATGTGGCTAGCTTCGAATGAAACTTTTGAACTATCGGATCCCACAACATAGAATTTCTCTTAGCACCAAGAGGCAACCCCAAGTACTCCGCAGGAAAATGTCCTACTAAACACCCAATAGCATTAGCCCACTGACGAACCACTTCCTCATTAATATTAATACCAAATAATCTGCTCTTAGACAGATTAAGCTTCAGGCCAGACATGACCTCAAACACACGAAGAATCCTCTTAACATTAAGAATCTGAGTCTTCGAAGCATTGCAGAAAATGATGAGATCATCTGCAAATTGTAGATGAGATAAATTGACCGAGGCCTCATCTTTACCAACCACCAGACCACTAAACAAACCCGAAGATACTGCTTTACGGAGCAGTAGATGAAGCAGTTCTCCAACAAGATTAAACAACAAAGGGGACAAGGAACAACCCTGTCTAAGGCCTATAGCCATAGGAAATTCAGCAATTGTAACCCCATTTACCAAAACTGATACCGAAGAAGTAGAAACACATCTGAATCCAGCTACACCATTTTGAATCGAACCCCATCTTAGCCATGACTTTAAATAGAATATCCCAATCTACCGAGTCATAAGCCTTCTTGAAGTTTACCTTAAATACACAACCCTTCAAACCTTTCTTCCTCCATAAATCAACTCCTTCATTAGCAATAAAAGAACAATCCAAAATTTGTCTCCCTGGAATAAAAGCAAATTTAGTCTCACTGATAATATCATTAATGCAACATCTCATCCTTCTCGAAAGACACTTAGAAAGGATCTTATACATCCCACCTACAAGGGAAATAAGTCTGAAATTATCTAAGCTTCCAACATTTGAGCCTTTCGGGATGAGGGTTAAGAAAGAATGGTTAATCCCATGCTCCCACTCATTTCCTAAATAGAAATTATGGAAAAACTTCAATATATCACCTTTCAAAATAGACCAGAATTTCTTAAAAAAACCCATGTTCAGCCCATCAGGCCCAGGGGCTTTATCACTGTCGCAAGAATTGATAGTCTCTCAAATCTCATCTTCTGTAAACTCCTTCTCTAACAAAAGATTCTGCTGCATAGAAATTCTCGAAAAGTCCAACTTAATATCCTCCACTTCCAATGTTGAACAACAATTAAAAGCTTTGAAGAAGTGTTCCCTGACACTAGACTTGATAATACCTGGATCTTTGGTAGTGACACCATCAACATTGAGAGCAAGCAGAGAATTCTGCCTCCTCCTAATGGATGTGCAAGTGTGAAAATATTTAGAATTACGGTCTCCACAATTAACCCACTTCTCTCTCGAATTTTGAACCCAAATTTGCTCCTCGATTCTGAGTAGTCTCCAAAGTTCATTTCTCAAGAGCCTCAACTCTGTCAAATTGACAACAGTGAGACATATTTTGTTGCATCCTCATTTCAATCTGATGAATTTTATCTTGTATCACAGAAATGTCCACTCGAGGAAACTGTTTTCTATCCCCATACCAGCTCTTAATAGCAATCTTAGTATTCCTGAGAATGTTAAAAATTCCAGCACTTGACTTCTCTTCCTTGAACACCTTAATAGACTCAGCAACCATCTTCTCAAAACCATCCTCATTCAATAAATAGCTAAACAGCCTAAAGGGTCTCTTACCCCAATTTTCTTTCCCAGTCTCCAAAATAATTGCATTATGGTCGGAAATAGATTTAGGCAATAGAAACTGGTTGATATCGGAGAATTCTGCTAAGAAATCAGAGTTCACTAGAAACCTATCTAATTTTACAAAAGTCGGCAACTCCCGATTACTGCTCCTGGTAAAATTCCCCCCAACAAGTGGCAAATCAATAAGCCTCGCTTGCTGAATAAAATGATTGAAAATTTCCATTGAATTCCTGTTCTGAGCTCTTCCTAACTTCTCCTCTTCATTTAAGTAGGCATTGAAGTTCTTATCAAAAAAAAAAAAAGTAGGCATTGAAGTCCCCACCCACACACAAAGGAATACTGAACCCGCTTAAAAACATTTCCAGATCATCGAAAAAACCAGCCTTCTCTTCCTCCACAGACGGACCATATACGTTTATGAAGCCACACCTAAAATGGTTGGACTTGAGCTTACCAAAGACAGCAATAAACCTCCTATGAATATGTTGATCTTCAACCTCAAAAGTACAATCATCCCAACAACTTAAGATACCACCAGATGAGCCAATAGTTGGTGACTCAACGAACCCCTGCAGCCTATTCAAACCACTTATCCTGAAAAAAGATGTTGGAAACTTTTCTAGTTTTGTTTCTTGAAGTAAAAGAACCAATGGTTTTTTCTCAGAAACAAGTCTTTGCACAGCCCTATGTTTCTCTTTTTTACCCAACCCCCTCACATTCCAAGACAAGATACTTAGCTTAGTCATAATACTCAAAATGAATATAACCCAAAATAGCCGAAGGACATAACTCGAGGTCAAGTAGCCCCACTCAACCCTTTCTCCAATTCAACAATCTTATTTAGAAAAGCTTCCTTCCCCTCTTTGAAAGATATCCCCAATATCTTGCTAATTTCCCATGTAGCAATTGCTTCCTCCAATAGCAAAGCAAAAGCTAAAGAGGATAGTGTATCAATACTAGTATGATCTACTGCTTCCCTAATGAGATACCTTTTAAGTCTTCTGTAAGGTCTGTTCGCCCTAGATCTGTAAGGTCTAGTTATAACTTGGAGTCTTGTCTCTCAATGTTATGTAATTATAGCAGTTTCAATGTCATCTTGTTTTTCATGTATTTAATTCTGTACCTTTTCGTTTGTAAATTCTTCTATACAAATTGTACTTTGTACTAATGAATGACTATTTTCTATATACAGAAAATTGCGGGTGACGAATTGCATAATGTGCTTCAAATTAAGAGTAAAATACCAAGAAGAAAAGCCATCTCATTGTTAGAAGAGAAGGTTATAAACAGATTGACAGATAAGGGATATATCAGCATAGATGGCACATCAGGATCTGTTGAAACAATACAAGACTTAATTGATGAGGATGATGAGGATGAAGAAATTGTTGTTGATGGTGAAGTAGATGAAGGTGATGTACACATAAAGCCGGTTTCTCGAAAACCCACTCCATTGGTGAGTTGTAAATAGGGTAATTGATATTTATTTTCCAGTCTTGTAATATTTTAAATATTTGGCTTGTCAATTCTGTAACACATTTTCTTATTGCTATTGTTCTATTATAGTTTACTGAGGTAGATGTGAAGCTGGTATTTAAGGAAGTTTCATCCAAATTCTTACGGAGACGTATTGTGGAGGTATGAAGGGATTTTTTTTTTCCAATTAGAAGACGATTTTTTTTGGGTCCAAATAACCATTTGTTCATAATAATTTTACCGGTATTTAATTTGTATTAGTTATGCTTTTTATTCATAGCAATGAAGCACCAACTTTGAAACCATGGACAGCTTTTTTCCTTATCCCTGAAGATTTATATTTATTCTGTCTGTATTCTTTTGTTTTCCTGATTTTTAAAGTAGTTTAAGTGCAATCAGTGTTAATTTATAATTTTGTGTTACTTAAAAAAACTTTATTTTCTAAGACCACCATCTTTTTCATTGGCAATTTCTTGCAGATTAGGATCCAATAAGTTCTATATTTTCTGTTTGGATTTGGAATTCATGAGTCATGTCACATTTTTACTAGTTTTTTGCTCTAGAACACTCCATTTGTTCTCTTGAAACTTTTCTCAAGCAGCAAATCGTGTCATCTTATTTCAATAGTATCTGATTATCCCATTAATGCTTGACTACACTAAGAAAAGGTGAATAACCATTGTTTTCTTCTTGGGTATGGGTCACATTTCAGCCAAACGTGATTCCTTTGCAGCTGATTCTCTCTCTTAACATTTTATCTTGAACTGTTACAGGGAGGAAAAAGAAGTGATGGGAGGTCCCCAGAAGATATACGTCCAATCACATCAAGATGTGGATTGCTTCCAAGGGCACATGGAAGTGCTCTCTTTACACGTGGGGAGACACAGGTTTGTAAGTTCAGTGTGGTTGCTTATAGAATGTTTAAGTGTGAACCTATCATTTCTGTTACCATATGCATGCTTGTCTTAGGGATACGTAATTTAATATGTCTTAATGACTCTTATTCCTGATCGCTTGATGATTTCTGAATTCTGGTTTACATTAAGGTGTCACCATAGTGATATTCAGTTTAATACTTCCATATGTCTGTTCCTGATAGACAAGTTTGCATTTTTTCCTGACTATTGATTCATCTGCATGATGCTCAGTTGCTTATTGCAATGTTTTCACTTTTCCTTAGTCCTTATTTTATCTTTGTCATCCATCCTCCTTTTAGTCATTGGCAGTGGTCACACTTGGTGATAGACAAATGGCACAAAGGCTAGACAATCTAGCAAGTGTAGAGGAATTCAAGAGGTTCTATCTTCAGGTCAGTCTGAAATATTCAAGATCTTATTCTTTTCTTCAGTTATCTACTACAGTTCCTTTATGTATACACTAGTTCCTGTTTTAGTGGAACTGAACTTGTCAAACTTGCAGTTGATCGTTGACACCACTAATACAACATTTGTCTTCATCATATACCTTATTAATGAATTTGTGTTGATAAAAGAGAAACAAAGACCATAATCTACTTGGCCTTTTCTGTTTAAATTAGAACTATTCACTGAAAATTTGTTGCATGCTTCTCTTCTACTTGGTCGCCCTGACTAATAGGTTGGTGTGTGATTTACCTGCAAATAGAAGTGATAAACATGGATAATATTGATATGGTTATTCGGTTATCATGTTCATGTCATACTTTTTAAATAGATAATTATTATGATTTGCTTTGTGATCCCATAAAATTAGTTAGATGAAGTGCTTGATTATTGAAAATGTAAACGATATGGTGAAATGGATAAAATTTCATTTTACCATAATAGTTTTGTAGAACAAAGAATAATTCCATGTAGTTAATTTTTTCATGTTATGATTATGTTATAGAAACTTTTTGCCCTGGAGAACTAATGTTGAGTTCATTTTGAAAACTGCTTATCTACTTATTCTCTTGTTCAATTCACATGTACCTGCAGCTGTACTGAAACTCTAGTCAAAGTATAAATAGATGCTTAATCTACTCTGACTTTCTTCAGTACTACCTTTCCTAGTAGGGGAAAGTTGTACTCTTGCCCAGTCAAGAGCTGTAGATGATGGTCATATATTTAAATAAGTGGAGTTTTCATAATTAAATGGGTAAACCCTTTCCCTGAGAGAGATCACCTAACAACTTGCGGTATTTTATCTGATATTTCAGTACTCATTTCCTCCATCAAGTGTTGGAGAAGTCGGACGAATGGGAGCACCTAGTAGAAGAGAAATTGGACATGGAACCCTTGCAGAGAGAGCTCTTGAGCCAATATTACCTACTGAAGATGAATTTCCTTACACTATACGAGTTGAAAGTACCATTACTGAAAGCAATGGTTCCTCAAGGTGTTTCTGAACATTTTGAAGTGTCCAAATGCTTGCATGCACTTGTCTGCATTTAAAACCTCTGTTTCTTTAAGAACTGCATGTCAAGTGTTTTAAGGTGTGACATCACTTAACATGAAGTTTTGCTGCATAACAGTATGGCGTCTGTTTGTGGAGGTTGTTTGGCATTGCAAGATGCTGGTGTTCCACTAAAATGCTCTATTGCTGGGATTGCGATGGGTTTGGTTTTGGACACACATGAATTTGGAGGAGATGGTACACCACTTATTCTTTCTGACATTACTGGAGCCGAAGATGCTTCTGGAGATATGGATTTCAAGGTCTTCTCCATGGATTTTATTTATAATCTGTGATCTATTTTGTTCAATGAAGCATTCTTGAAAGATAAAAATTATGTTAATGTCCTTGCAAAGCTGGTCACAAAGTTACATAAATTACCTTATAAGAATGTTATTTGCAGGTTGCTGGAAATGAAGATGGCATAACTGCATTTCAGATGGATATAAAGGTCACTGATCATATACTATTGTAATCCACTTTGGACAGTTGTCGTGTTTCCTCTGGTGACAACAAATGTTTTGCTCTTACGTCTGCCTTTCTGGCTCCAGTTACTGATGTGTGTTTCAAAACCTTTTGTCAGTTCTAGAATATAATAGATGATTATTGTTCTTCTCTGACAGGTAGTAGGGATAACCTTACCTGTTATGCAAGAGGCACTCCTACAGGCAAGGGATGGGCGCCGACGTATTCTTGGTAATGTAAACCTGTATTGTCTTGATTATACGGAGTTAATAGTGTGGTTTTTACACGTTGCATATAATTGGACGTGGCATTATATGTTTAATTGTACGATCTTTTCTGTTTCTGGTAGAGTTGCTTCCTGCCCCTTTTCCAATATCTCGTACTCACTCCATCCCACTAAATATGTCTCTTTTAGATTTTAAAATTGTCCCATTCAAAATGTCCTATTAGAAAAATCAACAAGTAAAAACACTTACATTTCTTTTTTTACCCTAATATGTGCCATTCTTTTACATCTATCAAACAAAATTTTCAAATCTATCAATCACTTTTTGAGGATAATTTTTTTCATTTCTTTTATCTTATATGACATGGCATATAGTCAAATTTACCTCCTAAAACGCACAATTTACAAAACTACTATGAGAGAGTGTCAGAGAGAGAGAGCGGGGGAGAGAGAAAGTATCTTAGGTTTTCAGTCCTCCGGCGAGGATTGGACGGTGTTTGTGGACAATTTGAGTAAGAGAGTTTCCTGGAGAACGGTTAAGGAAAGTTTTCAACAACAGGGTCGTGTACTGCGAGTTTACATTCCGAGTAGTTCTAGTAAACCAAACTACAGAAACCATACGTTTGCTTTCTTTCAGTTTGCGACGGAAGAAGGATTGAAGAAGGCGGTGGCAAATGTGAATGGTATTTGGATTGATGGAAAGAAAGTATCTGTCGGGTAGCTAAGTATTAGAAGCAGAGGTCTGGACATGTTGCTAGTAGAATTTCAAAAAGGGAAGAAGATACCGTTGTACAAGGGAGGCAACTGGAGAAGAAGAGTTGGTATTGAGTCTTTCAATCGATTAAGGGATGAAAGATCATTTAAGGATGCTTTAGCTTCCAATGTTGGGCTGAGGGAAGTTCCGATGAGCAATGAGAAGAGGGAGGGGCCTCCTAGAAAGGAATCAGGGTTGAGGAACTTGTGGGAGATGCATATTCCTACGAAAGAATCGGATTGGGTGAAAAGATCATTGACAGGGATTATTAAAGCCCACTTCGACTTGGAAATAGTGTTGAAGGGGTTGGCAAGCGATGGGATCAAAGTTAAGTTAGCTAAATGGGGTAATGCATGGAATTCATGCATTTTAACCTTTGCTTCAGTGGAAGAATTAAAGGAGGCGTGGTCGAGCAGATTTGAAGAATTGTCATTCTGGTTTGAATGGCTTGATACGCTTTTGAATGAGGAAGGCTTACCGATGTCTTTTTGCTCGGTTGAACTAGTTGGAGTTCCATTATTATGTTGGAATGTCCCATTTCTGGAAAAACTTGTTACAAGGTGGGGGAAGATGATTTGCATACATGAATCGACGGTTAGAAGAGAGGACATGGTAGTTGCAAGGGTACTGTTGAGGGTGGCTAGTCCGTTTGATATACCGGAAACAGTCACACTGGGATCGTATGGGAGATCTTATAAGGTTAAAATTAATTTGGGCTCGGTTAGTATGAAACATAATGATTTCTCATCAGCGAATTCAACGGCGGACGACAGTGGAGTGTATAAGGAAGTTGTAGCATCTGAGGAGGGAGAAGATCGGTGTTCAGGAGGGTTTGGTAGGCTTGACATATTAGCAAAGGATACTAGAGGTAGAGTAGACACATGGTTGGAAGGGGATGATTGTACTGCTGTGGCTGGCGGCTGTGGTGGTCAGAAATTAATGTGGCAGGTAGGAGAAGGTCAACCTAGTGGAGCAACTGTGTCAGAACTTCCAGAAGAAGGTTTGAATTTAAAAGGGGATTACCTGGGCCTCGGGCTGAGAAATAATTTATGCTATGGTAGTGAAAAAGCTATGTCAGATGATTTGAGTGAGCCCATCTCAAAAAATACAAGATTTTCACCAGTTGGGCCTGCTGTTAAATGGCTTATGGTAAACAAAAAGAATATTGGGTGGAGATACAAGGTATTATGCAGCAGATAGTTTTGGATGAAGCAAATGTGCAGAATTTGGTTCCTGTTAGGCCTGACTCTAATTTAAAAATTAATGCTGGAGGATACAATGATAGAGTACAGCCTCAATTTAGAGGCAATTCAAAAAATTCTAATGCTGAAGTGTTAGAGGAGGTTGTTGATTTGGAAAAAGAAGCAAGAGGTATGGATGAAACAAAGGTGGAAAGGGAAGCCATACCAATCAAAAAGATTGAGAATCAGGTGCTGGGAGCTAATAAGGAGACTCTTTTAATTGGTTTAAGGAGTTGGGGTCCTTTAGATCACATGTCTAAAAGTTTGTGCATTAGGAATGTCCCGGTTGGAAGGGGGAATAGAGGAAATGTTTCTAGAGTGTATAGAAGATCTAGAGTAAGAAAGGTTTGGTTAGATGCGAGCAGAGAAGATGGGGTATTACAAACTAAGGATTTGGTTCATCAGAGCAAGAGAATTCTCAATCCTCAGTCAATTTTATCCAAATCCCTTGGTGGAAGGTTCTACTAATATCGAGGAGGAAATCAGTGTCCCTTTGAATTCAGCTGTGGATATGTCTCAGAATCAAGGGAATGTAGAAGAGTATTCTACAGGAGCTAAATCTGATTCACGGACAGCAAGAGAGAGTAGAAGAAACAGAAGGCTTTTGATTAGAGATGCTTTGGATGTGGTTAGTTGCCCTACTGTCTCTTCTTCAACATTCTCGAAATTCTTGGAGGAGGCTATGGCTACATGGGAAGTTAGTAAAATACTAGGGATTTCATTTAAAGAGGGGAAGAAGGCCTTTTTGGATAAAATTACAAACCTTGAGGAGTGTTTGGCCGAAAGCAGGGAACGGGTGAAATCAAGGGAATAGGTTTCTTATGTTGACTTGCTTTAAGGTTTTGGGTTTTATTTTTCTTTTATGACAAATATTAAAATTATTTCATGGAACGTAAGGGGTTTTGGAAAAAAGGAAAAATCCATAGCTGTAGCTAATTTGGTCAAGAAGAATAAGCCGTGCATTCTCCTCATCCAATAAACTAAGCTAGAAAGGTGCTCTTTGGCTCTTACGAGAAGGATAGGGGGAGATTTCTTAGAGGAATTTTTGCTCCGGCTGTGGGATCTGCAGGTGGACTAATGATTATGTGGAATGAAAATGTTTTTGAAGTTTCTAATAGTCACTTAAGTGGCAGATTCATAGCATTTTTTTGGGAAGTTTAAGAATTCAAGTGAAGAGTGTGTGATTATTAATGTTTATGGTCCATCCATTGAAGCTGAAAAGGAAGATTTTTTCAGGGAGCTGTTGGAGTTTGTTTCTGCTCTAAATTTGTCAGTATGCATTGGGGGGGACTTTAATGTGTATCTCAATCCGGCAGAGAAGTTGGGCAAGTCTCAAAATTGGCATTCAATTGATATTCTTAGAAACTTCTTACAACAATCAAATTTAATTGATCTTCCTATGGTGGGATGAAGGTATACTTGGTGTAATAATAGAGAAGATTCTACTTGGGAAAGACTCGACAGGTTCTTAATTTCTGGGAAGTTTTTGATAGGTTTTCCGAATGTTGTGCAAAGGCTTTTACCAAGGTCCTTATCTGATCATAATCCAGTTTCATCGGAGGATAAATCTGTTAATTGGGGTCCTAAACCATTCAGATTTTTTAATTATCTTTTAGAAGAGGATGGCTTCGAGGACTTGGTTAAATCTTCCATGGATGATTTGGGGGGGGGGAACAATAGAAGGGGTATCTTCAGCATTTTACAAGGAACAAAAAAATCTATCAGAAATTGGTCTAGCAGTAAATTTTTTGGGATCTCTGAATCTATTTCTGATCTTGAAAGGAAAATAAATGAACTGGAATGTAAGGCACAAGATGGAAATCTTTCGAAGCAGGAGTGGGACCAGTTGATGCAGTTTAGATCGAATCTCTGGAGGTTGTATAGGATTGAAGAAAGCATTTGGTTTCAGAGATCAAGGACACGATGGATTAAAGATGGGGACAGACATACAAGGTTCTTTCATCTATCAACGTTGAACAAAAGTAAAAGAAATGAAATTTTAAGCCTGAAGATTAATGGGGCTGTTGTATCAAATCCTCACAAGATTAAGTCTCATGTTTCAGATTTTTTCAAGACAACCTATAATTCCAATTCAACAATGGAAGTGGAGGACTTATTCCTGGATTTTTCTAAGCTGTCAGGGGATCAATCCAACAAGCTAGAGGAGTAATTTTTAGAACATGAAATATGACAAGCTATAGCTTCTTCAGACAACTCTATAGCTCTAGGTTCGGATGGCTTCACCATGGGCTTCTTTAAAAAGTGTTGGGCAAGTTTAAAGGATCATGTATTGAAACTTTTTAAAGATTTCTATGGTGGAAAGAAATGGGAGCATGGTGTAAATCATGCTTTTCTCATGCTTATTCCGAAGAAGCAAAATTCGGATAGTGTAGAGGACTTTAGACCAATTAGCCTTGTAGACAGTTTATAAAAGATCCTCTCTAAAGTTTTATCTAAGAGATTGAGTTATGTTGGTGATATCATTAGTCATTCCCAGTTTGCTTTTATCTCGGGGAGACAGTTGTTGGATTGTGCTTTCATCGCAAATGAAGGGATTGATTATTGGAGAAAACAAGGGTTAAAAGGGGTTGTTCTTAAAGTAGATTTTCGTAGAGCTTATGATTCTATTGAATGGCCAATTTTAATCAGAGCAATGTCAGAGATGGGTTTTCGTAATAGATGGTTATCGTGGATATCAAAGTGTCTTTCAATAGCCTCAATCTCGGTCCTAGTTAATGGGTCTCCTTCGGAAGAGTTTCCTATGGCTAAAGGACTTAGACAAGGTTGCAGTCTATCTCCTCTTTTGTTTAACATAGTAGGTGAGCTGCTCCACTTGATGCTATCTAAAGCAGTAGACATTGGTCTTTTTCAAGGCTTCGTTATTGGGAAATCTAAAAATTATGTTCGGTTGTCTCATCTCCAATTCGCCGATGACCTAATAATTTTTTGCTAAGCATCTCTTTCCCGGATTAAAAACGTTAAAAGAGTGTTGAGGATTTTCAGTATAATGGCAGGGTTGCATTTAAATCTAGCTAAGAGTAAGCTGTTTGGTATTAATGTGGATGAGGCAGTTTTAACTGATTGGGCATTAGAAGTGGGCTGCTCAGTTGGTTCCTTTCCCACAAATTGGGACTTCCTCTCGGTGCTAAGAAAAATTCAGAAGCCCTATGGGATCCAGTCTTTAAGAATCTTAGTTCCAAACTTGTCGGGTGGAAAGCTTCTTGTCTCTTGTTAGCTGGTAGGATAGTCTTATTGAAGTCGGTGTTAACATCCTTACCAATTTTTTTCTTATCACTTTTTAAAATGCCTTGCAAAATTGGTATGAAGTTAATTTCTTTAATGGCTAGATTTTTATGAGGGGGGTAATGAGGAAAAAAGGAGGATACACTGGGTGAATTGGAATACAATTTGCGAGCCTTTGAATTCCGGTGGTCTTGGTGTTCTTGACTTGAATATTTCTAATCGGGCTCTATTGAGAAAATGGGTGTGGAAGTTTGCCAATGAAAAGAATTCTCTTTGGAAAAGTGTGTTATGTAGCAAGCACAAGGTCAGTTGCAATACCATGTCTATTAGGAAGGTTTTTTCTCCCAAATCTTCATGGATTTTGAGAGGAATTGTTAATAATTTCTTGAAGAGAGATTCGGAGGGTGATTGCTTAAGATCTTATTCAAAGTTGAAAGTGGGTAACGGAAAGTCTATTTCATTTTGGACAGATGCATGGGCATATGAGCTTCCTTTAAAATATCTTTTTCCTAGAATATACGTGCTATCACCAAACAAATGGGGCAAGGTTGTTGAATTTGGCAGCTTTGAATTGAACGGTTGGGTGTGGAATATTCAAACCAGAAGGAATCTATGTGATTGGGAATTGGATCAGTGGTTGGATTTGATGGCAAAACTGAAGGATCTTAAACTATCAGATTCAGTAGAAGACTTTCTATCTTGGTCTGCAAGTGGTGATGGATTGTTTTCGGTAAAATCTTGCAGAAATGCATTCGGGAGGGAGTCTGGGGGGCTCTAATTTGTGGTTAAAAGGGGTGTGGTTGGGATTGTCACCACCTCGTGTCGAAGCTTTCCTATGGCAGCTAGCTCATCAGAAAGTGACAGTAAGAGCAGAATTGGTGAACAGAGGAATGCAGCTAGATGATATCCTTTGTCCTTTTTGTAAAAAACACGAGGAATCAGTATAACACTTATTCATTTCGTGTTATGTAGTATGGGAATTGTGGAACAAAATAGCAAGCTTTTGGGATCTAGCCCTAGTCTTTCCAAAGGACCCTCATTCTTTTCTTAGCTGTTGGGGTGAGTTGAGGGTGAAATCGTTGATTTGGAAATTCATTCCGGGAGTCGTATTTTGGTCTATTTTGAAAGCTAGGAATGCAATGGTGTTCGAAGGATCTACTCTTGACATGCAGTCTCTGTTTTTCATTATTAGATTTAGATTATTTAAATGGTTTATAGACAAGTACCCCAAGTTTCCTATTCAGGAGGATGTCCTGATAGGTGACCCATCTCTTGCAGACGGTATTCAAGTTCATAAATTAAAGGATTGTCAGGTGAATAGCTGGATCCCACCCCCTGTAGACTATTTGAAGATGAATGTTGATGGAGCTGTAAGACTAGATGGCTCGGATGGAGGTATAGGAGGTATTTTAAGAGATTGGAATGGTTGCACTGTCTTGAAATTTTCAGAAAATGCTGGTCAAGGTCCCCCTCCAATTGCTGAGTTAAAGGCTATAAAGAGAGGCATTGAAGTGTTTTTGTCTTCTTGTTGGGTTTCTGTTGGTAGGTTGATTGTCGAGAGTGATTGTAAGTCTGCAGTGGATTGGATTCAGTCCTCGGCTTTGGCTCCTGTTTTTTTATTGCCTCTAGTTAAAGAGATCTCAACGCTCATCTCTGAAAGGGTGCATTCAGTTAGGCTGATTCCAAGGGCGTGTAATGGGGAGGCAGACAGTTTAGCAAAGAAGGGGATTGGTTGATATTATGGTCTCATTAGTGGTTTTTCCTGTTTTGTATTAGTGGGTTTATGTTGTTTGTAGAGTTCTTAAGCTTTATGGTATCCAGTATGGAGTTGTTAAATCTTATGTAATTTCTTGTGATCAATAAAATGTTTAAGGCACTATTTTCCTCCTTCCGCTGATTAAAGAGCTTCCATTCAAAGCTCCATTAATTAAGAAGGAGGTTTTTAACGAGGCCTGAAATTCCTATAAAAAAAAATTTACCTCCTAAAACTATGTGCTTAATCAACATCTGACAAAAATAATGGGACAGAGGGAGTATATATCATCCTTGTTAAGAGTGTCTTAGTTAACATTACCTTTCTTTCTTAAACATGTTTGTGTCGAATTAGGCTTTCTTTAAATGCACAAGCACAGGTACTTAAATCTGCACTTCAATCTTAAATATACATTAAACATGGACATGGTTTAAGTTTCTACCATAGATGGTGGGATGCTAACCAATTATTGCCTTCTGCAACAAGTATTCTTTTCTGGTGATTGGAAAATTTGTATTATGTTTCTGGTAACCACTTCTTGATGCAGCTTGATTTTATGTGCTTGGAATGAAGAGTATTATCAGATGATTGACATGCACTGGTGTAGAGATGCTATCCAAGAACTGATAGATTTTTTATTTCATCATTTAAACTAATTTCTTTCTTTTTCATACATTCTTGTTCTTGACTGAATTCTTCAGCTGAAATGATGAAATGTTCCCCTCCCCCTACAAAAAGTCTCTCAAAGTATGCTCCACTTATTCATATCATGAAGGTCTGTTGATCTTAGCCCCATCCTTTGGTCCAGTTTGTTTAATTGATGGTCTGCAATATCTAATGTGTTCCATGCCCTTTATTGTGCCAATTTCAGGTTGCTCCAGAGAAAGTTAACGCTATTATAGGTTCTGGTGGGAAAAAGGTGAAAAGCATTATTGAAGAAACTGGAGTAGAGGCTATTGACACACAAGATGATGGAATTGTAAGATCCTATGCAACATTTTTGTGCAATAGACATAATTATTTCGACACAAGGTTTCTTATCTATGTTTTTCTTAGGTAAAAATAACTGCAAAAGATTTGTTAAGTCTGGAGAAGTCCAAATCCATTATTAGCAGTCTGACAATGGTTCCAACTGTTGGTGATATTTACAGGTATCTCTTTCATTTACCATTTGACTTTCCTTCTCCCTCAGATACACAGATAATTTAACTTTCTATCTTTATGTTACAGTCAAGATATAATTAAAACTAAATATAGGAGATATGCACAATAGATCTCTAGCATTATATCTATTTATCAAAGTACTTGTGTGTAAGGATGGTCAAATTATCCGAATCCAATGTGTTCTGACCCGACATTCTGTAGAGTCATTTTTTAAATCGGATTCGGGTCGGGTCAGTTTTGTTAAAGATAAAGTTGGTTTCAGGGTGAAAAATCCCCAACCCCGACCCTAGATCATAGTATAATTCCCCTCCATATATTTAAGGATAATTACTATAATGCTCCCTCTAGATATTTTTCTGTAACCCCCCAGACCGATGCAGGTAGCCCGATCTGATCCGGGAAGTCACATTAGGGCCACCGGAACGACCCATTATAAAAATAGCGGAAAATTTAAAACTTTTATTGAAACGTGTAACTTATAAAATTAGTTTTCACTATTTAAAAATAAAACATATTTCCAAACTCGTATATAAATCAAAATACAATTACATGCCCCCTAATCACATGTACCCTACTCTGCAACAACGCCGGACGAACTCCCTTACTGAAGTCGATAGATGCACTGGTACAATTCTTTCAACCTGAAAAGGTGAGTAATAGAGTGAGCTTTGGAAAGCTCAGTAATACAGAACTACCAGATGATGCTGATGAACGTGCAAATACAGATAAATATTTATTTCCTTATTGCTTCTGAGCATTTACATATTTTTATGCTGAGCAGAGATTCTACTGATATTTCGGGTGGTAACGGACAATGAGCTTTCAGTTCAGAGAAATATTTCGGATGACTGAGTTGAGGAGATCAAAATAGGTTTTCTAGTGTGTTCTCGAAAAATTCAGTAAAAAGATACAGATCTTTTAAAACATATATATATATATATACCCCCATCCGTTCACATCATAAATGTGTAGATTCCCCAGAACCATACACCCAACCGCACATGCCATTTAGACCCTGAGCACAAAGCCGAGGAGTCTGCAGATAATCTTCCTCCAACAATAAACCCCCCAGATAAAACATTTATCCGTCGGTAAACGAAGATATCAGAAATCAAAACATAATTCAGATCAGATATCAGAACAGAATCCAGGTTAGGAATCAGAACAGATTTCAGATCAGATGTCAAAACAGAATTCAAATCAGAAATCAGATAAAATATTCATATAAGTAGGGAACACACCAGAGTTTACAAATATTATTCAAAGGTACTGGATAATCTTAGCAAGTAGAGAAATATGGATCTTCAGTATACCGATAGAATATCGGAATTCAGAATCACTATTGAAAGAGTTCAATAACTGACAGAATCATCAGTTATTCAGAAAGTGACTTGAGCTGATAAGGAAGAAATGAAGGTTCAGGACATTTATATTATCTATCGATTGATCGAATTATCGGACAACTCTTAGATGAATAGTTTCCAGAACTAATGCCTGTCGATTGGTCAATTCATTGTTCTTCCAGGGTATTTACTCTTTAATACCACAATTCTTGTCCATAGACCATTTTCGGAATCATCGTTGATAGATCTTCCAATGTCTTTATTTCATTCCACACTTCTACAATATCATGAAATGCTGACGTACTTGATTAATTTGTTCAAACTCATTGTAATTGTACACTACGTAAACTCATCAGAGTTTCCAGACTTATCCAAGTCACTTACTAAATCCTCAGTCATTGAAGTTACCTATTTCATTTAGCAGTCATCTCTATTCCAGTTACTTCAGGATTTTCCAGAGTAATTCAAACGTTACTGAATTTCAGATACATGTTGTACTTCCATTCCATTCAATTTGGTCTTCATGGTTGATTGTCGAACAAACGTCCAATTCTTAGTACTGAATACAATCTAAAGCTGAGTTGAATACTTCCAAAATTTATCATCGAGCCAAACTTGAGAAGATGAACACATGTTCCAGTAATATCTATGTCATTCAGGTATTGACATAGCTTTAGGGTTGATCTATTCACTTGAATTGTTTTCCATTACCTTTAAAGGTAGTCCAATACTTATCTTACTTGGATTCCTTAATTAATCCAAGACATTTACTTAATTTAGGCCATAAGGGTATTTTGGTAATTTTGATGTTCAGTTTTATTCCATTCATTTCAGAGCTCGAGGATATTCAATCATTCCTGAGCTTGGTGATATTCTTGGGTCATTTCTATTACAGGGGTATTTTGGTCATTTTACAGATTCACAGTATTTCAATCTTTTCCTTCCATCTGATCTTATTATTTAATTCAATCTTATCATTTACTTCAGTCCTTTCGAACAATTCTGACAGCAGAATACCCCCGATAAATTACTCTTCCAGTATTTACTCATTATTCGACTATTTTCAGGTCAAGTGTCTTCTCAGACTTTACAAACGGAATATCATAAATTTTCCTGCACTAAGTCGGGATCTTAACAATTAAATCCGTACTTAATCGAGTTAAGTACGAATCCTCTAAGTATTTTCTCATTCAGAGTCATCTCAGACTATTCTACCTCTTAAGGGCATTTCCGTAATTTCTTAACCAGATAAGTTCGATATTAGCTCTTAACGAAAATAATATAAATTAGAGATCCTATGATTAATTGCTTTCTTGAACAATCTCTGATCTTGAAATAATTCCCTTAACACACTTCTAGTATCTTGCATAAACCCTCTTGGGGTTAAAAACCGGTTATCCATAATGTCTACGTATAACTATCATTTCTTATGCACATCAATATTTTTATCAGATCAAATATGTCTGTAAAATCCTCTTATCTAACTTCCATATTCCAATCTTGTCTTTTTATAACACAAGGGTATTTTCGTAATTTTACCCTACCGGAGTATTTTCATAAATTCACATCCAAATGCCTTTAACATTTAACCTTTGATGAAATAAATTATAAGTTACAGATCCAGGTTGATTTCTTTACCACTAAGCACATAACTTGTAATTTAATTCTAGCAATCCCTTAATTTCTTATAAAAGTCATCTGAACCATAATCAATTACTGAACCTTTTTACCGTATTCAGATCGAGTGTAGAACTTCATTAATTACACATATGAGACCAAACATTTCCATTCATGCATTTACCAATACCAACATGTTCTATAAAGCATAAAGAGGTAGTAAAGTATTACCTCGATTTCCGTGCAATACTGATCGACCATAAAAAATTCCATTCGAACGCCTTTGATCTTCAATTCAACTTCCAATAATTCCTCAGATACATATCAACATAAATTATATCAGAAACGGAGCTTAATTACGATAAACGGATCGAATCGGGTGATAAATCAGTGAAAGACGGCTTACCGAGTTCGAATTTGGCGAAACGGACTTCGGATTTGGATTCAGGACGTTGAAAGCATAAAATATGACTTTTCAGAAATTTGGAATTTTCGGTCAAAATCAAAGTCAACGGGTTTGACTAACAATTTCGAGGCCTTCGGGTTCGAATTTCGAAAAACGGACAGCGGAATCGGATTTGGAACGTCGAAAAATGTCAGGATAGGTATACTCGGTCGAAGTCAAAGGTCGTTTAATGCCCGATCAAAGCCAGTCAAAGTTTTGGTCAACAGTGGTCAACTCCGGTCAACGGGTCAACGGTCAACGGGTCGGGTCAACGGGTCGGGTCGGGTCAACGGGTCGGGTAAACGGGTTGGGTCGGGTCAACGGGTCGGGCCGGGCCGGGTTGTGACCGGTCAAACCGGTCAAAACAGCTCCAAAACCGGTCAAACCGGTCACTTTTCCCTTCCCCACGCGCAGTGGCGGCGCGTGGGGGCGCGTGAACAGTGATAAAATCCCGGAAAAATTTCTAAAAATTATTTTGAGCGATTTCGAGATACTTACAAAGCTCGGTTCACAATTTTGAACGGCGGAGAGCTCGATTTCAACAAATCGAGAAGTTTGACCGGTTCACCTCCCAACGCGCCGCCGCCGCCGGAGAAAAAGGAGAACACCGGTGGACTCGGAACGGCACAAGGAACACGATGGTGCGGGAGGTGTCGTAAACAGATGACCCGATCGTTGTGAATCGATGAAAAACCAACTAAAACCGAGTTATTACCGACGATACTTCCGACTGAAATTCACGACGAACGGCGATGATTCACGACGAAAGGTTTGAGGGGTTTTGTTCCTCGGTTGACAACGAACACGATGGTTGTTTCGGCTCGTCGTTTGGAGGTCGGACGGCGAGTAGATCGGAGTTGGAAGTTGGGTTGCTGGAGAAGGGAAATATGGAAAATTTCTGCTGCCTGCGCACGAGAATCAGATTTATAATTCAACATATTAAAAAATGGTTAAATCATGGGTTTAGCCACTGAACTTTCTGCACTTCTGAAAACGGTCTGCCAACTTTAGAACTTTACAATTTAATCCCATGTTTCTTTCAAAATACCAAATTAAATCCACCAATTTATATTTTCTTAAATTTAGCCCCTAAATTGGGGTGTTACATTTTCAATTATCTCTCTATTTTGCCAAATAAAAATGGGAAAAAGTTTTATTTGTGTCGGGTTCAGGTCAGCGGTGCATTGGCCACAAACCCGACCCGTGTCTATCTCTACTTATGCGGTTGTGTCTGGTTCCTTCTCTGAGTCTCTCGGAAACTGTTTTACAATGAGATTGATTGTCTCCCAGACAAAACTCGGAAAAAGTTAAAAACTATTATGGTAGGTTGGGAACTAATTTTTGCTCTTGGTTTTGTATGCTTGGGACCGTACTTGTCATATTTCAGTAAAAGTCACTGCTGCTACTATTCAGTGTAGGAAACAAGTTAAATATTTTGTTCTCTGTACCTTTTGAAAAGTGTATCATTTCTTGTTTTTACCTGTTGGATGTTGTAACTTTGGAACGCTTTGAACCTCTGTTATCTTTTCAAGCAGGAATTGTGAGATCAAATCAATAGTTCCATTCGGCGTTTTTGTTGAGATAGCTCCAGGGCGAGAGGTACATATTTTTATCCTGAAAATTAAACATTTTTTTGGTAAAAGTTTGATGACTTTTACAGTCGCCTTATTTCTAAGTATAGTGAAAAATAGTCTCTTTTTTTTACAAAGAAAGTTTTCTCCTTTGGTTTAACTCACAAATGCATTTGTTTTGTTTAATTTTGAGGATCATACAAAGAGAATGACAACTCTTATCAAAGTTATTGATATGTAGAATATGCATATTTATATACATATATATGCACATTATGGTACCTTTTGTAGTTGACACAACTCATAACTCTCATAATAAAATTACTAAGACATTGATTGAAACAATTGAGTAAAATATTGGATGCAGAGCCCTGTGGTGCATGAAATAACACATTTATAAAAGGAATGTGTAAGATTTTTAATGCCAAGAATGAGGAGGTTCAAATATATATTTATAAAAACTGTTTTCTCAGGGACTTTGCCATATTAGTGAGCTGACTTCAGACTGGTTGGCCAAGGCAGAAGATGTAAGCATACTTTTTCTATTTCATTTTCCCTCAACTTGCAGATGTTTTATCACTGTAAGCTACTGAAATTATTATTGTTTTGCTTTGTTGCATCATAGGCTTTTAAAGTCGGTAATCGTGTTGATGTTAAACTTATCGAGGTATGCAACTTTTTTGTCTTTTTGACAGGCTTATATTCGATCATATAAACTAAATATGGAAAGTGTTGTCCACTTAAAATTGATTTATCCATGCATTTTCGTACTGGGTCCCTGCTATATTCACGCTGCATCATGCCAGTACATTGCTAATTGATTAGTGGTGTCATCTCACATCTATTAATTATTAGGTTTCTTGTGGTCTTGTATTGAAGTAAGGCCTCTCACCTATTACAAATTGGCATTAGACTCGATGCTTAACATAGTATAAAGACCAAGTTTTGTTATGTTGTTCTTCATACCTAACCCCATGTGTGGTTGACAATCCTGCTGAGGTTGTGAATGTGTAGGCCCTGTGAGCGAAACATGAAGAGTGTTAAGTGGTGCTATACATGAGGAGTGTTAAATGGTGTTATCGCACGTTTCTTAAATATTATGTTTCCTGTGGTTTTTCATTAAAGTTGGGCCTCTACTTATTTGCAATTGTTTTTAGGTTGAATGCTTAACATTAATCTTCACTTTGTATCAAAAACTTGATATTCTATACATTTATTGTTTGCTTCCTACTTATAGCTATATGCTTTACTGGATGTTTTACTACTACTTATTTTGTGACATGTTCATGCAATACTCAACTATTCTATGGGCTTGATCTATATAACAGTACTATTTATTTTAAATATATAATCAATGAGATGGTAGAAGTGGTTTCCAAATTTTTATCCTTTCTGTTGAATCTTGTAAATCCATCAAACAGCTGTGTTGTTACAATTCTTAGTCTTTGTCTGCACGTTTTTCCTTCAAATAATCTATCTCCATTGACTGTCATCTAATGCAGGTTAATGATAAGGGACAACTTCGCCTTAGCCGCCGTGCACTTCTTCCTGTTCCTGAAACAAGTTCAGAGGATCCCAGTTCAAAGCAGCTTACCGACAACAAAGCTGAAGTAGTTGGTGGTGATTCTTGTAAAGCATCTGATGAAGGTACACCTAAAAAACATGCGAGTGTACCCAAGGCAGATGGTTTACCTGAAGAGAAGATTGAACAGACCAAGGTTAAAAGTAGCGCAACCAAACTTGCAAGCTCGTCCAAAAGTAATTCTGAAGAGACCTCTCTACTCCCACGGAAGAAGGTTTTTAAGAGAGTAAAGAAGAGCAGCAGTAGAGCTGTCACTGGTATCTCAGGTAAAGACGGAGAGTAGTCAATAATCAAATGGAAGTGTTATTGTGCTTCTAATATGTTGACAAGAATTTCCATCTCCAATGATGGTTGTGCGAAAGGTGACAGAATTGCTTCCTCACATAGAATAAACAGAGGTAAGGTCAACCTACTTTCTTTTGATGTTGTTACTGTTAGCAGATTAGAATAAAGTCTTTATAGTCTTACAAGTTGCTTTTGATTCCATTATGAGAACCCAGGTTCTTAGTCTCGTGTTGACTGCGCTTATAGTTACTAATCAGATAAGTTTTTGAATTGCATATCGCGAGGTTACCTACCAATCGACGATGATGTTAATTATGACTGGTAGGTGGGTAAGAAAGAGGAAAGGTAAAAAGTCTGGGTTGTCTCAAACAAATGATATGGCACTAGAACCTCAGAATTAGTATACTAATTAGATGAAACGGGGTACTGGATGCTCATTCGGGTCGTATGAACTGTATTGTTATTAGTGAATTTGCTAATAATAGAATCTTTTACAGGTACATTCATCAAATATGGAGGCGTGCACTTGGTATGTGAAATGTGATTCAGAAGCTAGTCTTGCTTCCATATGTTTATGTAAGAAGTTTAAGGCCAGGTAAGCGTGGCACAAATTGGATCTCAAGTTTTGTTGCAGAAAATATACACAACATTTTGGATATTGCAAAGTTTTGATGTGTTGATTTTATGCTCTACTACCTTTTTTTCTGTTTTTTTTTCGTTTGGATGTCCTCAAATTCTTGAATTTCTGTCAGCATTTGCCCTTTGGGTCTTGGGTAGGGATGGGCATGAGCTTCGAACTCGACAAGTTCTGACCCTATTCAGTCCTATTAGATTGAATTTTTTTAAAAAATGGGGTTTGGGTAGGGTCGGTCGAGTTTTTTTAGAGGTTATGTTCAGATTGAGTTCGGATTTAGGGTGAAAAATATATGACTTGACTCGACTTGAAAAAAAATGTAATTTTACCTTATATATTTAGGAAAAATTGTAATAATATCCTTTTATATATTATTAATTTTAAATTTAAATTCATATTTTTATTAAATAAAAGTAATATTTTTTATAAATATATTATTTTGGGTCGAGGTGGGTTTGGATTTTATTTCAAAAAGACGGGTCAGGTTCGGATTGAGTGAAATTTATATATTTCTCAGGTCGGGCGGAAGATGTATACTTTTCGGGTCAGGTGCCCAATCTATGCTCATCCTAGTCATGGATTTGTCAAATACACACTTTGTGCATTTGGAGTAGGGTTAAGAAAATTGGACTAGTCATTTAAACAAAATATCTTTAATATAATTTAAAAATTAATAAATATATAGTAAATGGTTAGTTAATAATAAAAAATGCATTTAGTATATTAGTATAGCTTTTGTTAAAAAAAATGAATGGCTCACATTTCTTGACTTGAAAACTAATTTTCAAATTCCTTCAAAAAAAATGTTTTTTATAAAGATAATCACAGAAAATAAATACATCTTTTGTTAATATTTGGCATTGATTTATATGGTTCCCCCTTCCCAAAAAAAAATAGATCGTATATGATTTTAAATAATTCAGTTTTTAGGAGGAATAGAAATATTAAATATGCTATAAAATGTATTAGAAATATGCTATTCGGAATAGAAATATTAAGTAAGCAATTATTTTAAGGCTTAATAAATATTAAACGATATCCAAAATTAATTTTATATGTTAAAAGAATTTTTATCAAAAATAGAAATCTAATTTTTTTACGTTACCTATATGATAATGGTCGTTAAAGAAAATTGTTAAATGATATATGCTATATTTATATATTTTTTTGAAGTTTTTTTTAAAAAAATTCAATTTAGTTAAAATTACAGAAAGATCCTCTATATCTTAAAACCCAAAACGCTAAATTCTCTAATTTTTCCTGCTGTCGACCACCACCAATGTTGTCACCGACAATCAAAACCTCCCACGCTGTTAATCAATCGAAACTCAAATTTTTAACCTTAAATTTAATGGGGAGTTTAGATGAGATTGGGGGGTTGGTGGGGTTCTATTTGAATTTGGGGGTTTGCTGGGATGAGATTTTACGAGGGGATAAAAGAATCGAGATTTGGGGATTTTCACAACGCTGTAAGGAGGGGTGGTTTTGGTTGGGGTAGGGTGTTGGGCATTATCTAAAAAGAAATTGAGTTTTTTTTTTTATAAATATTTTTAATTTTAAAAATAAAAATTCAAAAAAAATTAAATGCGATATGTGTTATTTAACAGTTTTTTTAACGATCATTACGGCGTAGATACTTAAAAGTGTAATGATATAAATGTTAAACACTTATTTTTAACGAAAAATTCTCTAGGCACCTAAAATTAATTTTAGATATAATTTAAACACTTATTTTTAAATTAAACCTTGTTTTTCTGATCGTATGTCGTAAAAATTCCTGAAATCTTTGACCATCAATCTCATGGACGAGTCATCAAATCGTTTTGATCTTAGGGCCAATTTCTTTAAAATTTCATTGATCACCATGGATTTACAAAAGATGTTTCGATTTTTATCGAACAAAAAATTTCTAATCCTCGTTATCCATCGGACACATAAAATTCACAAGGGATTCAAAGGAAAAGCATTTATGAATATAACCAAAGGTAGCATTGAAAAAAGTATGTATTTGCAATAACACCTTACAAATTTCATGAAGAATGATAGTCGAAACCCAGATCCAAAACCATGTACTAGAGCTACTGAGCAATCGAAATACAAAGAAGACACCGTCGTTGTTATCATTACAAGTCAACTTTAAACAAGAAAACGAACCAGTTTGTTCAATTAAGAAGTACTCAGAAAATTCAACCCTGTAAAAGCAAATAACTCCAGCAGCCAAGCAGCAGTTCCTATCCCAATTGGTCAACTGGAACAATCCCACGATCTACTCTTATCGTGTAAGGAAAGCAATTACAAATTTCCAGTATCATCGACATATAAACTACAAATACGTATAAAAAAAGCATTCAAATGAGATGGATCAAACTTGTGTTATGATAAAAACACAACATTAACGAATTTAAAATGATCACAAAAGAAAGAATATCAAGATTTAACATGGAAAACCTTTAGGGAAAAATCACAGTCAAAAGAAGAGAATTTTACTAATATGGAAGAAGAAAAATACAAGATGATTTTGGAGAAAGAAAAAATTCATATCTAACCCTCATCCTTAGTATCTATTTATAGGCACATGTATTTTATTACAAAATAAACTTATAAAGCAGAAATCTACTCAAATAGGTTTCATACATAAAAGAAAATTAAAGTTTCTACTTCTAATCAAATTAGGTTTCATACTTTCTCTAATTATATATTAATTAATTTGTGTCACATTGAATTCGAGTCAAACTCTAGCAAATCTTCACATTGACATGAATTTTGGAAGTGCGAAGGATTTAAGACAAAACACACAAATTCGATGAGACACCCAAACTCAACAAAACTAATTTTTCACTTCATCGAACAAGTTCTCCCCCTTTAGAACACATTTTTCATTTCTTCCATGAAACCCCTTAAAGGAGTATTCTTCAACAATGATTGTCAATTAAATCCAAGTCTTGCCTACGCTTAGATATATTCTTCACATTGATAAGGAAATTAAAAGTGCAACTTTGCTCACAACTTTATCACAACGAACAATATCATGTACAACATCATCCCGATCATTAATGATAACTCTATCTCTTTTGTTATTTATCCTTGTGTTGAATCGAATTATCTTTTACTTTTCAAATTCGTTGTGCCTGCGAAATTGAACTACTTTTTGCTTCACATAACCGTTATGCCCACAATTATCTTGTTTAATAAGAAGAAATCTTCTTTTACTTGATTTAGTCAAGACATTTTTACCAATAACAATATCATTTGACACAGAGGAGGAAACATCATGTGTATTATTTAAAACTGTTGAACCCTACAAAGCATAAATCTTAGAAGTCTTTCTCTGTCTTTTCATCACAACAAGAGAACCCTTACAAATTTTCATAGCTCCGTCTTCACTGAAGAATTTGTACCCTTTTGAATTTATGGTACCTAGTGAAATCAGATTTCTTCTCAAATCTGGAACATGCCTCACATTACCAAGCGTTCAAACAATCCCATCGAACATCTCAATCTTGAATGTGTCAATACTTGTGACCTTACAAGAGGAATTATTTCTAAAAAAATATATCATTTGTAGACACAATTTTATACAACATAAGCCAATCTAAATTGGGACTCATGTGAAAATTGTTACCATAATCAAGTATTCACTTGCCACTTGTTATAAAATTGTCGTCAACTGTAACTAGGAATTCTTTGGCATCGCACTCCTCTGTTACATCGAACTCACTAGAATTTTTTGGAATTCTACTATTCAGCTTCTCTTTTATTTTTATTATGTAACTTGTAACGCTCCGATTTAATACAGTCGTTCTTCTTGCAAAAAGTACAAGTTTTTTCTCGATTTGAGTATTTTTTTTACCATTAGAATTGTATTATGCTTTTATTCAGTGATTGTTATTTATCAATCCATACATTATGAGACTCTCTACTTGGGACTCTAATCTAGATACAAAATGCTTCATATTGTCATACGAGTGCATGTTATCATTCACTTATTTAAGAGTAAGTGTTTCATGACTGTATAATATAATGTCTCTAAAAGATGAGTAAGAAAAGAGTAACGAACGTAGGAAGATTAATCCTAAGTCTTCATGATCGTACTTCACATCCATGCTCTTCAGGTCGGAGACGATGTTTTTCAACACAGTCAGGTGGTCTTCAAGTAATGAAGCTTCTGTCAACTTGTGTGAGTATAGATGTTGCTTCAAGTGCAACTTGATGGTCAATATTTTCTTCATACATAGTTGCTTTAATTTTTCCCGCAAATAAGCAAATGTATTTTCTTTCGATATATCCTACAAAAGTTGATTTGATAAGTCTAAACGTATATGAGATAGGGCCTTTCGATCCTTACGTTTTTCTTTGTTTGTTCAATCTGATGATGTCTTATTATCAAACCCTTTCAACGCATCATCTAAGTCCAATTGTGCAAGGACATCTCTAATCTTCAAATGCCATAATGAGAATCTTGTGCTAAGATCCAAAACGGAATTCATATTTTACTTATGCCGTTATTATGATAGGATGTAACCCGAAAAGTTCTTATAGCGGTTTGTTATGATGAAAGAACAATAATAACAAATGTAAAACGGTCACAAAAGAAAGAACACTAAGGTTTAACTTGGAAAATCCTTTCGAGAAAAATTACAGGCAGAAGAAGAAAGATATACTAATATAGAGGAAGAAAAATACAAGAGGATTTTGTGAAAAAGAAAAACTTGATATCTAACTTTCACTCTTAGTATATATTTATAGGAATAGATACTTGATTACAAAGGAAATTTATAAAGTACAAATCTACTCAAAGTATGTTTTCTAAATAAAAGGAAAATAAAGTTTGTACTTCTAATCAAACTAGGTTTCATATTCTCTAATTATATATTAATTAATTTTTTCCGCATTAAATTCAAGTTAAACTCTTAACAACTTGGATTTGGAAGTTAGTGGCTACAAAGATAATTCGATTTTTTATATGGCTATTCTTTGTGAACAAATTGAATAAGAAGTTTCAAAATCATTATATTTTAATTGAGTATATATTTATATGATTTTTTTATATATTTTTAA